GCTTCAAAAGTGAAAACAGGATATAGCCACAGGTCACAGTAGGTGTTGGTAGCAAAAATTAACAAGTTACCCTCTTGAAGTATTTTCATACTTACAAAGGGGCTGAGACATAACACACAGATTGTGAAGAGAAGATGCTGCTATGTAAGATAATCCACTGCTCTGTAGGCCTGAGATCTGTCTCCAGGCACACTATATACCTAGTAACTAATTCTAGAACATACATTTATTAATTTAATAATATTTATAGTGAACACACTGCTAAAAGCACATTTTTAGGCAGGTGAGCAGATGAGGCTCAAAATGGTACCTTGTCACTATAACTCAAGCTAACACTAGGCCATAATTACCCTTTGCTCTTATTAAAGAAAAATTAAATAACACCAGAATTATCATTTTACTTAAAGTGGAGAAAATCAGACACTTGAGTTGTTAAAACATTATAATTGTGCAAATAAAAAAATGTTTCATTAACATGCATTAAAAAAAAAATCGCAGCAAACTGCATGACAGCATGGTAAATTATTTCAGAATTTTCCAACTGCCTTTCATAAAATAATCCCACATAGAGGCAGCTCAATTCTCTAATATGTAAAAACTATTTTTATTTTAAAAATTAAAAAGATATACCAGGCAAGCACTTAGTTTCCATTATATTACACACCAAGCTCTTATTCTGCTTGAACTATGCACTAGTTCCAATTTCATTCTCAGAGGCAAAAAGAGAATCTGCTGAATAATTGGCTCAACCTTCCATAGCACTTTAATTCACTTGGTAACTTTCTGAACACTGGACTGTTTTGAAGCCTCCAGCAACTAAATCCAGCTACTCCAGTTCCAAGCAACAATGACAAAAGAGTCCCTGACATGGAGGCTTTTCCAGGACTTTGCAATCCAGGTAGACAACATGAACAAACAGTGGAAGAACAGTGTTATCACAACTATAGTGACTGGGAAACCTGTCTACATACAAACTCCTCAGTGAGTTTTAATGACAGAAACAATTTCAGGTGAAATATTTCTTCGTCAATGTGGAATCCACTACTGATATATTCATGCAGATACAGGATCCCTCAATCATCTACTTGATGCAAATTTAAATGAACATGCTCTAATGCAACTAAAAGGTATGACAGATAAGGCAGAGAAAGGTGGAGGTGCAGCGGACCCCCTCTTAGGCCTTTACAGAAAACACTGTGAAAATAAAGCAACAACACAAAAGACAAAGCCTGGCAGGAAGACAGACAGACAGACAGAAAGATTAAGCTTTTGTAGAGAAAACAAGACAACCCCTGTAAGATGAGCAAACAGCACAGAAAACTAGGGTGAATGACAGACAGCAAGGCAGAAGATAACAATTAAACCAAAGTGACATTTTAAAACCTCACAGAAAATACTTATTTGCTATGCCTATGACATCAGAACCTTAAATCCAGAATGTATGCAAGGGTAAAGCTTTGAGAAAGATAGTCTTGAAGCTACTAGGGCCAGCTCCAGAAATTTGGGAAAGCCAGGCAGAGTGGAAAAGAGAGAAAAATGGCCAGCATTTATTACAGCACATGACTGGGAAAAGCAGCGCTGAAGTCTCCACAGAAATTCAAGCAATCTCAGATGCTGCTGTCCAACAGGCCAGTTTTGAATTATCCTAACAGGCTTGTAAATGTCCATTACAGTATCTTAAAAGTAAGTTCAGAAAGCTAAGAACTGCATCTAGAGCACCATTCAAAGCTGTTTATCAACACAACAGCGCTTCCCACTTTGATATCACCAAGCTGATTTCAGGACTGGAAGAACAAACTGATTTGGAAACCTGCCAGCACCAAACATGAGAGGAAAGAACAGCTAAAAAGGCATTTATATTTGTAATTAAAAAAAATCCCTTACCTCTTAAGAGACCCACTTGCTAAATAAGACTCTGCAGAGAACCTTCTCCCTCCACTGTGGCTGTCAAAGGCACAAGAAAAGAAAGCCGGCCTTGAGTTCTCATGCTCCACTTCCATCGCCAGCTCCAAGCTGTCAGTGAGAAATGGGGACGTGGAGGAAGCACCACAGTCATCCTCCATTGTTTTCACCTGGCCCAGAAAAAAATAGTTAAATACAAAAATACTCATAGCATTTCTTCAAATAAATGTCTCATTGTTACAACTCCACATCATCCTTCAGCTCAAGTGAGGACACAGATCTGGCCAACTGCAACACTGAAGTAAAAGCCACCAAGAAGGGCAATCATGGTCACATGCCCTGTCACACAATTTTGCACCTTTGTGCACCCACATCTTCCTCATGGAACAGAACCTGTTCAAGGAGACACATTAGTGACTCAAAAAAACCCCAAACATTTTCTTCTGGTTTGGCTCTCTAAATTAATTAGTGATGAGGTTAGACTAGCAGTAGGTTATAACGCGAGGCAGCAATGCATTACAAAGCTACTTCCAGCAACACTGCATTTTATGACCAGAGTAGCTATGCTGTGGAAGTACATCATGTACTACAGGCTCGCAATATTAAAAACAAAAATCTAACTACCTAGGAATGTGAAAAAAGAGAAACAAAACAAAAAAAGGATTATCATGTCCAAAAGAAGTTCACTGCACAGTTAATATTAGTGTATTCATACTTTATACAATATACTGAAAGAGCAGAATTAGGCAAAAGGTGCCAGAGAGGCCTATAAAAATATGCAAACAATATAACTAAAACGCTAAATTAAAAGTTTTCAACTTCTTTGCTGGTAAATCTTGATATGTTTTTTGCAGAAACTAATCTACACAATGAATAGAGGCTGGTAATACAGAAGCTTAACTAAAATATAAGCTCAAAGGGGAAAAAAAGAGAAGAAAACAGTTTACATTCTACTTTCTTACATTCTCTATTAACAGTTTCCATTTCTCACTTTCTCTATTCACATTCCTGTGGAGCAGGCGGCTGGGAAAGCAGGAAAAGAATGATTTGTGCTCCAGTTTACAGCCAGACCCTATGTGGGGGTGTTGGGACAGCTGAAGGGAATGGTCCCAGCCACAAGGACTCCAAGGAAAGCCTGTTCAGTTCGGGGAACCAAAATCGCCCCACAGGACAGAAACCCCTGGGGGAACAGTTACATAAGAGGGCAGCTCTTCCCAGCCATAGCTCCCATCCGTTCCATACCTGTCTATCACATCCCTGATGCAGCAGAAACAAATGAACACTTTAAGCACCTCCTGGTCCTCCAAGCACAACCTTTCAGGCGGCTGCAATCCGCGGGCAGCAGCTGCAAAGCGGCGGGAACAGCGCTGCGGGCCGCCGGGACGCGCCCACGAACACGACCCGCACGTCTATCTCCTGGGCCCCGCACCGCCGCCCTCTGCCCGGAGGCGCTTCCCGGCCGAGCCAGCCCCGGGCGGGCGCCACAGGGACTCGGGCGGTTCCTGCGCGCCGCCGCCGCCGCTGCCCCTCCGCGCCCGGGCCCGTTCCCGTTCCGTACGGCCCGCGCGCCGCCGCCAGCCGCGCACTGCGCAGGCGCCAAGGCGCCCATTGGCCGCCGGCCGCTCCTCCCCGGCCGCGCTTCCTCCGCCCGCTCCGCCTCCTCCCCAGCACGGCAGCGCCTGCCCCGGCTCCCGCCCGCTCCGCCTCCTCCCCGGCACGGCAGCGCCTGCCCCCTCTCTCCCGCCGTCTCTCTCCCGCCCTTCCTCTCCCGCTTCCTGTCCCCGTCCCGCCCCGCCCAGGCCAGGCCAGGGCGAAGCGCCGCCCGCCGCTCCTCCCAGGACTGACCGGCCGGCGGGTTTCCCTGCTCGGCTGGGTGTCCCTAGGCGGGCGCGCCGCCACAGGTGGTTTCTGGCCACCTCGCGCATGAACGCTACCGTCTTGCCACTGGTGTTCAGTTGCCTTCTTTGTGCCCGCAGAATCGTGGAACCATAGAATGGCTTGGCTTGGAAGGGGCATTAAAGATCATCTACTTCCAACCCTGCTGCGGTGACTTCAAATACACCAGGGTGTTCAGAGCCTCATCCAGCCTGGGATAAAACCCCTCCAGGGATGGGGCATCCACAGCATCGCTGTTCAACCTGTTCCAGTGCCAAACCACCCTTACAGTAAAGAATTTCTTCCTAACACCTAATGTAAACCTACTCTCGAATTGAACTCATTCTCCCTTGTCCTGTCTCTACATGCTGTTATAAATTAGTCTTGGCCCATCTTTCCTGTAAGTTCCCTTGTACTGCAACTGTCCCCTACCTTTCTCTGGTGTCTTTCTTGTCTAGATTTTACTTGAACCTCATTTCCCTTCTTCTCCTCAGCTTTCTCAGTTCACCCATTCCCATGTTCCCTCACAGAGATGGGCATGAGGTTCTCCTGGTCTTTTCTGATGTCTTACGTATGGAGATCCAGCCTTCCTATGTCTGCAGTGTAATGCTCGTATCCCCAAACACACACAATTGCCATCAAGCTTGGGAAGTGGTGTTCAGAGCATTTGAAATTCAAGCTGGGTATCACTCCTACCATTTACTGCAGCATCTCCATTGGGCGTCACAGCCACCACAGAATGGGGGCCAGGGCAAAAGTCCTAAAACCTCTGCCTGGCATAACTTAGCTTAAAGTGCCTGCTGTGCACCTAGAGGCTTCTGGGTCTTTTTTTTTTTTTTTTTTTTTTTTAAGTGTTATATTATTTTGGATTGTTGTGGTTTGATTTTATTTCAAAATGAATGCTTTTCCATTTCTGCCTGGATTTTGGGTGCAAAATAGCAGCAGTGCACTAAACTTCCTTCTAGTAAGAAAGTTGCTATAAAAAGTTTTGCTGCTGCTGCTACAGCTTGCTCTGAAAGCTTTGCTGTGATTTAAAATGCTTCATTTGCTCCTGTGTCTGTAAGAATCTCTCATTTCCTTCTTTAAATTCCTGTCTAATTAAAAAAACAGTACATCATGGTTAAATAAAACTGTACCCAGGATAACCCTGATTTCCATATGCAGATTTATCTGCACTGACAGCCCCCTCTCCCTCTCTTAGTCTTTCTGTTTCCTCTCCCTCCCTCACTCTCCCTCTTTCTCTTCCCCTCTCTTTCTCTCCTTGTCTTTTTGTCTCTTTATGTCTATTGCATTATGCCTGAATAATTTTCAGTCTTTTTTTTCCTCTCCTCTTGCACGCACATGCTAAAATAACTAGACAAAGATGCAAGGTGGTTGCTGCAGTCCCTGTCTCTAGGACAAAACCAAGAAAGCTTGTGATTGCAATGCCACCTTTCCTTTTTTTTTTTCCTCTTCTTTTTTTCTTCCCCAGCCATGCTTGGTGATTAAACTTCCTCAGGATGGGGAAGAAAAAGGAGCTGAAAATGAAATAGGGCTGAGGAAAAATCCCATTGCAGCAGCTGCAGCCAGTGGTGTCTGCTGCCAGATGTGCGAAGGTTCCTGGGGTCCTTGTCACTAAAAGGCAGTATTCAAATATTTGGAGACAAAAGCTGCATCCTCAGTGATCATTTTCTTTATTTAACATGGCAGCAGGCATCGTGTGGGGAAAAATCAACATGCTGGATGTTGAATCGGACTTTTCTCCTTTCTGGGATGAAAGGATGTTATCTATCCCATGCCAAGAGGGAACTGAGGTAAGAGAGCTGATCCAGCTCGGTTTTTTTCCTAGTATATTTCCTAAGCATCTGTTCTGAAACAACCTATATATATATGAGTGTGTCTGTGTGTATGTGTATAGATGTTTCTATGTTTGTATATTTGTGTATTCGATTTCAAGGCAGTGAGCGGTAATGCTTTTTTTTCTCTGCCTTCACATCAACCCAGAGAAAGTTAATTCACAATATATATTCAGAGCTTGTTCAGAAGGGTCGTTTTGTGGGATTTTTTTTGAATACCTTTTTGTTTCCAGAGAAGACTTCAGCAGTGACATCATGGTCGGCTGCTGATATTAAACCCAATTTTCAAAGTCTGTAAAAAAAAAAGCCAGTAACTTTGTGATAAGAAATTGTGCAGGAGATTCATATGCTCTATTTTTCGGTTGCACTCTAAATATTGGAAGTCTTATTAAAGCGATAGTGAGAATTTTTTATTATTATTATTTCTAGCACAGAAGCGATGAATGCTGCATAATTAAGTACAGTATTTAATTTGGCTGTTGTGAAGCAAAAGAATAAGGTAATAATTTTTATTGTACTAATCAGACTCAAGATGTTCTCTGTGTTAATTGGGTTAAAAAAATTGCAGTACTTATTAGAAATTCTAATTTCACAATGCAGCACTGACAATAAGCTCAGCCAGTGAATTATTCACATCTTTAATTTGCTCTCTTAATGACAGTGTTCTGTAATCAGAGTGCAGCGACTGCTTCCTATGCATTATGTATGATGTTCAGGACTTAAATGCAGGACATTATGAAGCCTCTCAGTGGCTCAGTAATTAGTTTTCCACAAGACAGGGCTTAGATATTCACAGATAAAAGTCTACAGCTGAGATAATGTTAAGGTGGTGACTCATGCTAACAAAAGCAGGGAAGTTCAAATTTAATGCTGAAACTGCTCTCCATTCTCCCTCATTGTGCGTAGGCGCAGGGGGAGGGGAGCAAAGTCTCCCAAAGTAGCCCGGCACGGTGAGCGCGCCGTGGGCACGGCCCGCAGGGCAGCCCGGGCTCCTTCCACCCCGGGCCGGGCTTTTGGCAACTTCGCTGATGGGAGGGTGGAGGCGGAGCTGCCTTTGGGGCCGCTTTGTAGCGGTTGTGAGAAGGGCAGCAGTGTACACACTGTCACAGAGCAATCGTGTGTAGGTGAGATGTGTTTTAAAGGATTTCATTTGAAGCACTGACCTTCGTAACTTTGTCGAATTACGGTGTTTTGAGTGGGAGCTAGTTTGTTTTCTGTAGGAACTTTGAGAACACCTGATACTCGCTATATTGCAGTTGTACCTACTTCAGCTGTCATGGTCCTTATACATTTTAGAAACTTTATTTTCCAGTACTTTAGTTCTCACTATCCAAAAGATGTACTGTGATGCAGGTTTGTTCTTTTTGTCTTGGATCATTTACCTGGTGTTAGATCAAGTGGTTTAAATGTAGGGAATAAGTATGGCAATGTAACTTTCCTACTTCTACACACTGCTTATTATAGAATATTAGGCAAGAATATTGAAATGAAGCTGGAAAATTATAGGTTTTCTGAACTTAGTTGCTAATCAGGCTGGGAGTTGTACATTTGTCCTGTGTCTCCCTCGCATTAATCAGACATTTTTATTGGAAGCAACATAACTGAGTAGAGAAGGTTCTTTACTTTGTGTTAACTCTCCAAAGGCTCCAGAGACTTGTGGCCTTGTACAGGATTGTGATTCTAATTACTAAATTTGATCTGCCCGTAAAAAGTTTAGGCTTAAATTAAAAACAAACAAAACACTAAAGATCTGAACCTAACAGTAAAGTAGAGATATGATAATAAGAACTTGGAGTACATCTAGATTTTTAAAGCAAAATATTGTAAAACTAATTCTTTTAAATTTTTCAGCAGAGTCTACATCTGGAATTCAGTGTTACTAGCAGCTGTTGCTAATGGTGTTTGGCCTCAAGGCCATGGGACATGTTACTAACTAATTGCTTTCAGCAAGCAAAATCCTATATCCTATGGCTGGATCAGATATTGGTTGTATATAGTCCAGCCCTGAAAGTCATTATCATTAAACTTTTGAATAAAGAAGCTGGAGATTGGATCAATGTCGCTAGGTGATTCATTGATTATATCAGAATCCAAGTGATTGTGTATATGAAGAACCTGATTTGATCTTTTCCAGAAAAAATACTTTCCTTCCAAGTCAAGATCCCACAGCAGGTGGGTCACTCACTACATGGCTACATTTCTTCAGTCACTTCAGCATGGAATCATACAATTGAAACTTATTCCCTAAAGGTGTCATACCTGCCCCCCCTCTTCCTCCAAAGCCACAATCAATAAAAGTTGTCTTTTTAAGTGAGCCCTTGCCTGTCTGCCTGAAGATTTGTTATGATTACTTACCTAAGTGAGTTATCTATTCCAGCATTTCACTAGTCTTCCCATTAGAATGTTTTTTGTGCTTTCTGATCTTAACCTGCTAAAAGTAAATTACCTCAACCCATTAGTTTTTGTTAGTCAGTAGTTACAGGGATTTTTATTTTCCTCTTTGCCCCAGACTCACATATTTGAGATTCTCAGTCATGTTTCCACTGTGTTATTCTTTTAAACAATCCCTGGTTTTTGTTTTCTTCTTTATAGAAAAAAGCCCCCAATATTATTCTTGTATTTCTTTAATTTTTGTTGCTGTGATCTGGACTCTCATTATTTCTACTTTCTTGAAATGCAGTGTTCTAGACTTAGATGTAATTTCATATGCCATATAAGTTCTATATTTTCACTTAATGAAATGGGGTTGTCACTTCTTAAGAAAATCTATTTTCCCTGAGAAAATGACTTGCACATGGTGGGTACAAAGACATCTATTAACCCAGGCTACAGTCTAGGGTATCTACAGTACAATTGGAAAAGGTGCAGCATGTGTTTGAACATGTTTTTAATTCAAGGATTTATGCTTCTAGCAGGAGTCTTTATGGATATTGTTTCCAATATCCTTGTCTCACAGGATAAGTACCTGTGACTGACCTGATTACTGATGCCCAGATGTGAGCTATCCAGCTGTAAAGAATATCTGAAGTGTTCAATCTTCAGGATTGTTTCAAGTTGTAGAAGTACTATTGCAGAGTCAAACTTTTATAACAGTGCCCATGTTATAAAGTAGATGGGGGGTTAGCAGTTAAAATCTGAACTTTTCCAGTCAGATTAGACAATCTGAATTTGAGGCACTAATACAGGCAGGTGAGAATACTTTTTTACAAAAGTGGCAAGTGTTTTACTAGCCATCAAAAATAACAGTCCATGGTTAACTGTGCAGCAGTGTGTTTTAGGCAAAAAAACCCCAAACATTTAGAAAGTTATCACATTCTAACTAGCCTAGAAGATTGACTCTACATCTGAGCTATGCATGTGGGAAAGAGCCAATTGCTGTCTGCCCAATCTGTTGGGGTAAAGTGGAGGTCCGTTCAGTTTTAGCTCAGAGAAGGGAAGGGCCCAATATCTTTCCTGGGTCAGAAGAAGATAGTTCATACTATCCTTGAATTGTCATGGCATGGGAGGAGAACTGCATTTATGAAGTCCAAATGGAAATCATGTGTCTGAAGAGTTAAGGATGACTGACTATGCTTCCAGAAGATCAGGTTTAATAAGTTAAAAAAGACATAGGGATACCAAGAAAAGTTTTGAGGACCTTTACATGGTTACACAGACATCTAGTTCATATATTTGCAATATATTTTTAACTTTTACTGTCCTCTTACTGATATGTGGCTTCTCTTGTTTAGGAATATTGCAAGTCTTTTGGAGTGATCTGATTCATATTTCATTATTTGTTCATATATCAAAAAGCAAGAAAAATAGTTTTAACTCTGTTCAGTTTTATTGAAAAAAGTTATGAAAATTCCATCCATAGTATATTTCCAGGAGTTGTATTTTGTGCTTTTGTTTATATTGCTCCAGGCTTAAGTACCATGACAAATATTAGGTTCTGAAGTGGTATGATGAGTTAAGTATTTCTAAATGTCTTCTCTTAATCTGGCCTAATAATGCAGTCTTTTCACATGCATAATTCCCATGAAAGCCAGTGGGAGTACTACATTATAGAAGGAATGATAGATACACATGCCAAGATGTCTTCATTTTGAGTCATTGTTTTAACTTGATTGACAAAGAAGAAAGTTGACAAAAGGAAATATATACTGAGAGTGGGAAGAAGGTTATTGATAATACTTTTAATTCCAAATTTATCTGTTTCGCCACTGAAATATATATGCCAATAGAATGACAGTAGTCAGAATATCTGATGGAAATCTCAAATGAATTTATATTCACTAATGTAATCTAGGAAATATTTCACAAGTAGAACATATGCATTCTAGTCTGTAAAATTCTATAATTGACTCACTATGAAGAATTCCAACCTATATATAAACCTATGTATATATTATGTAAAATAGAATAGCGATAAATATTCATAATATAAACCAGTTTGGCTTTTTTTTTTTTTTTACAAAGTCAAGCTGGGAATAACATAATATACTGGATGAGTTCAAATACTCAATTATCTGTAAAATGTAAATCCATAAAACTTAGCAGTTCTTATCTGTACCTGTAGTAGGTCAGAAAAAATAGTAGTAGGAATACTTAATACTGTACAAAAGCATCTCACTGCTTCCAAGTGGCTTTTCTTCTGTGTTATCATCTATACTTATTTTCTGTACTGACTGTCATCCAAGGAACTACTTCATATCCTCATTAAACCTGAGTTTTCATTTCTTGTGTGCTAATTTTTCTGCCTTTCTTTTTAAGCTTTTCTCCATACTCTTTTTGAAGCTCATGAGTCTTTTGCTATTCCCAAAGCATGCCTCCTGAAAATTCTTGTTTTGTTTCAACATGTGTTTGCAACAATCCTTGAAATCTTCATATCACACTGTCTTTTTTTCATTGTTTTCTTAAGTATCCTGTTTCTTGTCTCTTGCAGTCTTTAGATTGCAAGATCATTGATGAAAACA